ACACACACACACACACACCCTCTCTCTCGATGCCATTAGCCAGCAACCGACTTGTGAATGTCAGTGGGTTCGTGATGATGGCTCAGGGAAGTACAGGCTGTCTTGTGGATACCGTCTGATATTCCCCTTGGTGTGTAGTCCCCGCAAGAGTAATATTACAGAACTAATGGCTTACTGCATTTCCTCTGCTTTGTTTCTCTGTAGATCTGAGAATTGGCTACAGGACAGTGTCAGAAGTAAAGCGCGCTGAAAAACACAAATGGCTTGAAACTAAGGAGCCGTCAACCACCAGGAGTTAAAATCGTGACACAGGGAAGTTACGACTGATGGCACTAAAAGAGTTCTGCTAGAATGGTTCCAGATACTTACTGCAAAGGTCCGTCATAGGCTGTTTGTGTCTGTGCTGCTCGGGAACAGCAGTTTGCCTTTCTCTACACTTACAATGCAGAACACATTAGATATTATAATGGCTAACAGCACACTTTGCTCAGCTCTATTGTGGCTGTTACAGAGCTTGAAGAGCCTATATACATACGATTTGTAGTTTACAAGCCTTTTTTCTTATTTTAGATGTTTTATTGTAAATGTGGAAAAGAGGAAAAATATAGTAAATATAGCTGTTGTAATTAAGGCAGGAATTTGATACAGTTTCAACATATTGGTAGAGAAGAATATATACATACATAAAATTTTTGACCTTCACACTATGTTCTGTTTATGTATTACTTTATTTCAAAAGTTGTGTGTGTATATCACATGGAGGCAAGTTTACATACGTGATTTAAAGATACCAAGCTTTTTGAAATGGTCACTTTGCCCCCCCCCCCCCAGTCCAGCAGGAAGTCCAGTGTAAACAGTCGACTTCCTGCTGATTGCCAGACAAATTATGTGAATGATGCCATTTTTAAATAAACACGAGCATCTTTCTTTGCATTATGCATTATGCACTTTTATAAGCTCATATGTGGAGCACACACTGGTACTGATGTATCTTTGAGAGATATAGACATAGTATTGTGTAAAAAACTATACTAAAAAAGCAGAGCCTCAAACAACAGCTCCACCATCTTCGCTCCAGACCTCACTGCAGAGGGAGACAGCAGGAAAGTGCATCCTCAGCATCACAGATCAGTTACATGTGCTGCGTTTTGGAATGCGGCCCATACAAAGACCACATGGTCTATCTGCAAAAACACAACATTTTATTTACAATTCTGTAATGCCATATCTATATCTGACTGAAGTAGCTTTAGTGTCTTAGCTGCACCCTTAAATTTCCTGTGAAGGGATACATCAAGTATCAGCCCCTCTGAAGCAGACCATCTGGCAGCAGAGTGGAAGCAGCCAGCGTGAGATCATTTAAAGCCTCAGCAATAGTGAAAGATAATGAGGCACTGAGTGTTCTGTGTGTATATGTCAGTTTTTCACATACATTTGCACTTCTGTTATTTATATATATATTTTCAAAAATTTAAAACCTTTAAGTGTAAAAGTGTCAGAAACTCTTTTAAATTGTCATCCAAGCTCTGCTAAATGGTCTTTCTGTCTAAAATTAATACTCGGATGACCATTCACCCAAACGCAAATGTGGTTCTTAGTTAGGGATAATAGCCATACTTTAAAAAAAAAAAAAAAAAGCTTCCTTTTTATATCAAAAGGCTGTAAAGGTAAAGGGCATTCTCAAATATAAAGTGAACCTTAACTGCAAGAAGCAGTGATGGAATCTCAAGCACCCAGTCCTCTTTTGTTCCAAGATCTTAATTTACTTAGCCTAATAGCACTGTCCCGTCATGGGCACCAGCAATAACATATTTAGGGGTTTTAACACTGTTGATGAGGCAACAAGATGCTCACCATGATGGAGTACACCAGTGCCACGATGCTGATGGGCCAAACGGGGCAAATGCAGGAGATGATGACCAGGATGAGGTAATCCCGGGGCTTCGGGGTCTCCTGGACTGCGTTGCCGGTGGAGGAGCGGCTCAGACTCGCCTTGGAAGGGGAGAGAGGGGCGGAGGCGGCCAGCTGCCCGGTGGAGCCCGATCTCACGGAGACGCTGTGGCCGTTCTCCTCGGCTTCCAGACCCTTGTCGCTGCCCACGTTGACCGTGAAGGAAGTGGACATGTTCATCTGGTTCCCTCCAGGCTCAGTGGTCACTGCAAGTAGTTTCTCAGTTTCCTGGAAGTCTGGCGGCGGAGCGCCTCCTCCGCCCTCACCCAAACTGGATTTCTGGAAGTTGGCATCCGTGTTGATCGCCATGTTCACCTCTCAGTTAGAAAGATATATTTATATATTTATAAATTTTTGAAAATAAATATCTGTTAAAATGTCTTACGATTGATTACAAAACAGTGAATGACGGCACTTTGACCAGTCAAATTTTATTTTTTACAACAAATCTCTAAAGCTGAGATCAACTTTGATAATGAAGAAGCTGACACGCCGAGGTGCGGTGGATGGCTTCAAATTAGATTATCTGAAAGGCGGAGAGATTTGATGGAAAAACTTCCTAAGAGCAACGAATAAAATCAGATGAAAGCAGCCTGACTCCTGTAAACATCATTTTCCTCCTTCGATCACTTGTCTTGTGTTCACACCCGACACTTGAGTCATTTCAAAAGGAGCTCACAGCACAAACCGTCCCTCCTCTTTGACACATCCAGATCAGTGAGAGGAGCTTCTGTCACCCATGCAAATCTAGATCCAGTCCCACCACTTGAGCCTGTGTTTGTCTGTTCTTGCAGAAGTAGCTTCAAGGGTTTCCTTCTCCTTTCATAAAAAAGAAAGATCAAGGTGAGACGTGATTTTCGAAGCAGACCCCTCCAAAATCAGACACTTTCTCCTCCTCTGTCTCCAGGAACACAGCCACTGCACTCTACTTGGGACCAGTGTCATGTCAACGCATTTAAACAGGGCACTTCCGGCGACGATGCACAAAATAAAACTCGAGCGTTCTCAACAAAAAGCCAGTAAGGGAAAATAAACGAGTTCATCCTAACTGGTTGTACTGGCATCATATAGTTTTTTTTTTTTACTACGTCAGTAACAGACAAAAAACTTTTTTTGTCTTTTGTTTTTTGCACACACAGTACTGTGCAAAAGTCTTGAGCCACCCCTAAGACTTTCATTAGCCCACATATCTGTGGAAAAATAGAAAACAGGTGCAGCAATTTACTGAAACCTGCAAACATAAATGAAAGAACAGTAGATATGGAAAAAATATAGTTTACACAACCTAATGGGAATGAAAGTCAATATTTGGCATGATCACCTTCATCCTTCAACACAGCCTGAACTCTTTCTGGAAAGCTTTCTTATAATATCTTTAAGTAGTCTCCTTTGAATCCTGGATGGCTTTTGTTCTTTTCTGGGTGGAGGCAAAAATTCATGATTGATAGTGTGCGTGTGTTATTAGGTCCAGGTATGCTTTGAATGCATTGGTAGTGTGTTTGTGATCACTGCCATGCTGAGAAATAAAGCTGTCATCAATCACACGCTCAGATAGTATTGCATGTTGAATCAAAAGTCTGAGAATACAAATTCTGACAAGATCACCAATACCACTGGTCAAAATCCAGCCCCCAAACCATCACACAGCCTCCACCGTGTTTTAAATGGCTGTTCACGTTCACTGTTGTACCTCTCTCATTAAAGAGAGGCCCTGAAGGGCCAGATGCATCTCTCAGGTCCTGAGTTGGATGTTTGCTGGATGTTTTCCTACTTCTTAACAGTTTGTGTGTTTTTGTGAGCATTTGCTAGTAACACAATATAAAGATAATATTTAAAATGGGTTCTTTGATAAGTTGTCTGGTAAGTGTCAACACTGATTCATCGGTTGAGTTCGAATGACTCACCATTAAGTGACTTAACAAACAAGCAAGACCATTTCAAAAAAGTCTGGCTAAAGTCTTTTGCACAGATCCGTGTAGCTCATGATAAATTATAATGGGCCATACTAATGTCCTTTGGCACGACCCCAAACTCCAAATAGCGTATAGTGAATGAAACTCCGTGAACACATGCTTTTACCAAGTTACTGCAATATAAGTATAAAAAATAAGAGACAACAACTTTTTTGGATAGGTTAGCTACACAGTACGAAGCAGCCTACGCTCTAAAATAAAGTAAAATAAATACAAAGTTGACATTAAAACAGAGTCCAATCCAAAACAAAATGACAGAAAATCTCAGAAATCATGCTTTCATGTACTTCTCCTATAATGTGACATTCGCAGCGTTTTATTTTGCCTACATGATCGCTGTACTTCCGCCGTGTAACTAGCTCTCTGTGGCTAACTTGGCGCATTGCACTGTTGAAAGCGGGCGAAGCAGGGCTGTCGAGCCCCCTCCCTTCTTCCTCCTTCCACTCCTCCTCCTCCCTTCCCTGCCCCGCTCCCAACATCAGCACCAGCGCTTTATGGACGAGAGCCAATGGCGAGTTGTGCTGCTATGCAGAATTTGCTGTTGTGGCATGTTTGGGCAGCAGTTCAGTGACACAATTCACCATAAATCAAATCTTTATAAATCAAAGTTTGGGAACAGAAATAGATACATATATTTTTTATTTATTTGGAAAATACGTTGTTAGATGTGTGAAGAGGATCCTCTTGAGATAGACAGCATCCGGTTTCTAATGGGCTCTCTATTAAACCACCATGTTATTCAGGCAAACCTCCCGAATAACAAATGCATAAAGGGGGTGTTAATGGCCTGTGTTGAATGTCATGTGTGTGTGTGTGTGTGTGTGTGTGTTTGTGTGTGTTTCTTAATAGATTTCTATTGATTTTCATCATCATTTGATGGTGCATTAGCATTCAGCGGTGACCTGTTATAGGGATGCTGGGTGGAAAGCACTGATAAACGGGGATTCCCTGAATTAAACCCAGCTCTCAGTATGATGTCATGCTATTGAGCTAGTATATCATCTCAGTGTACACGCAGAAGCACGTCTGCTTTCAGTGTATTTTCTTCTTAAAGCATTTACTTAAAATCAGTGGTGTCAGACACGAGTGTTTCTCTCCTGTTCAGTTTATGTTCGGCTTACAGTACATTTGTAAATATATGAAGGGAGTAAGGAGTAGTTTTCAGTGCCCACACTCCTGTGACAGATGTGAATGCTGCTGAGACAGAGTAATTTTCCCATCAGGGATCAGGTTGCTGCAGAGGTATAGCTACAGTTAGAGCTCCATCTTGTGGACGTTCAGCGTTTCTGCAAGACTAAGAAAGTAATTTCTCATTTTTTAACAGGACGACTTGATAATATTTAAAATTTTCCACAATATTCACACAACTCAGGTCATTGCCACTTAGTTAAATTACTGGCACATTCATAATGAGCATCTGGTCCCGAATCGAGTCATTTAATGGAAAAATAAGTTAGATGAGAAAGAGGAACAGTAGTTTTAAAAATATTTTAATTTGTGGAAAATAAATGTACTCCCTTTCTTTGTGGCCTTTAAAAACTAAGATAACCACAACCCTGTCTCCATAGTATAGAGCAAATGCCAAGTTATTATAACCAGCAAATGGTTGGAATATAAATGACAGGGAAATGGTTAAAAAACAACCAGGTTAGTCCAAAGGTCACAAATTATAACCGCAGTTTTCCGTTTTGCTGGAAGATCTCTCTTCCTTCCCAGGCTTTGTGCTAAATGGCTTCTGGCTTCAGGGATATACAGTTTGGTCCACAAGGTTTTGTAATTTTGTACACCAACACAATGGAGTTTAAATCAAATAATCAAGATATGACTAAAGTACAGACTTTCAGCTTTAAAACGTCTTGATGCATTCTCAATCATCCAGGAAAATAAATCTCCAAAAGTTGATTCTGTTCATCTGGACGTAGCGTTTTCTGGGAGAAACGTTTCGTCACTCATCCAAGTGACTTCTTCAGTCTCAGCTGACTGCAGGTTTCCCCAATCTTATAAACAGTACATTTGCATAATGACTGAAACCAGCCCACTGAAGGAACAATGGGCTGTGAGGTCAGTACCTTAATCATAATTATGCAAATTCTCATGACCATTGATCAACAACCACTGACCAAAACCCACTGATCAAAGACCACTGATAAATGGCCACGAGTACCATTCACAGAGAGTTGGGGAATGGCTGCAATCACAGCTGAACAGAATCAACTTTTGGAGACTTTCAGCTTTAGTTTAAGAGGTTTAGTAAGAGTATTACATCAACTGTTTAAGTGTCAAAGCCAGTTATTCTACTCTTTAATCTGACTTATAGCATTTGTGTGCATATTTTGGCCATGCTTAACAATGGAGTCAAAATACAAACAAATATTAATTACAATTTAATCATAATGCAAATCCACAACATATAAACCACAATAAGTCAGGTTTTAACAGTGAAAAGTCCTTCGTTTAATTTTTACACACGTTGTCAGATATAATTTGGAGTTTGATACAACCTTGCAGTTTATAAGATGGATCATTTTATCAGATACTCTCATGCAGGTGAGTATCCTGTGCAGAGGTTTGATATTTAACAGCTGAATTCTTCTTTAGTCAATCAGCTCTCAGTCTCATCAGGTCAAAACATGCCTTTGTATTTGAGCTTGTCTTCTTCGTTCTTCTCTTCCATACGCATGTTAAGTATGGCCAGTTCCTTCTTAACAGCCTTTTTCATGCCCGGGTTCAGGTCCAGCACCCTGCTGAAATCCTGCCGGGCCTCCGCCTCGTTCCACACCTCCACATGGGCCTTCCCTCGCAGGTAGTAGGCCTTAACTATGCCTGCAGGAAAAATATAAGCTTGTTTGTTTATGCATTTGCAAGCAGGCAGCCATGCAATAGAAATATGCAGCTCTACAGTGAGAGAAGACATAACTGACATAACCGTTTAGGTCTATGAATGATAAAAACACGCACAGGCACCAGGATCAGACTTTAACGGGACTATGCAACCTGCAATTACAAGCGTCATAAAAAAATTCACACGCTCATTCTCACAGTATGAAAACATGCCCGGCATATAAAAAAGCCTGAATAAACTGTAAACCGCGTGACAGTCTTTCACAACTGGCTGGAAAGTGTGATAATACTCTTGGCAAAGAATTCTCCCCCTGCTTTAAGATCCCTCGCTCGCTCGAGTTAAAAAGCTTGTGATGAGTGACAAACCTGGGTGCTGATTGGTAATGTCGGTTGTGTGCTCAATGACCTCGTAGTACTCCTCCATGCGGAGCAAACATTGGCAGTAGTTAAGTGTTAAAGTGTTGGCCATCTTCTCCAGCTTCATCCATGGGACATCCCATGCTTTCTCCTGATAAGGGAGGAAGAGGTTCAAAGTCATGCCTATAATAATGAAAAATCAGTGCTTTGTAAAGGAATTTCTTTATGGAGGAAAATAAAATTCTGCCTTGAATCAATTTTTTTGAAGTATTAACCTTGGTCTGAACATTTTTAATGCAGATGATGGCCTCCTTGTATTTCTGTGTGGCTTCTTGGTAACGTCCCTGTTTGTAGAGTTTGTTTCCCTGGCCGTGCAGCACGGGAACGGCCTTCAGCCTCTCCTCATCACTCAGAGCCCACGTCTCCCTGTCGTACTCGCTGGGCTGCTGCACCTGTCAGCCACACGTGCACATACACAGACTTCAGTTTTCCATCAATTATACTACAGAGCCGGGATGTCAAACATAAGGCCTGAAGGCCAAAATAGACCTGGCAAAGACTCCAATCCCGGCTACCAGAACTTGTTCCCTAATTTTAAATATTTATTTCTCACAACTCACAAGAGTCATACTGACAGATTTCTTTCATTTACTACAGCAGTGTTTCTTTGTTATGCAGAAAAACTGAGATATACTTTGAAATCTTTTTCTAATACTCAGACATCTCAGGGATTAAGTGTGAAATGAAACTTCTTTATACTGACAGCCCATTTATGATCAAAGTGTACAGTGAGTTTGACATCCCCGTCTAGATATGCTAAACCCCTTTAATGCAAATATATTCCTAATTTAAAAAGCATTTATTTGGTAGGCGAGCTTGCAGGTTGTCTTTCTTCTTTCTCACCTTGAGCAGCTCCAGGACAAAGTAGAGCGGCTTCGGTTCCTTCATCAGCTCATCCAGGTCTTCATAGCCAAGGCTGTGGTAGGCAAACATGTTGGCCATGCCGCACGTATGGATGTGCCAGTCGACTGGGTCTTTGCCCTCAGCGATGCGTCGCATGCTTTTGGACACGAGTGGATAGACACCAGTGTGCTGGAAAGGATCACAAGGTGATACAAGACTTAAAGTGACTGAGGTGGATCACGAAGCAGTCCGTGACTTTTAGTCTGTGCCTCATGAGTTTTTTTTACATTATTTGGTGTCTTTGAAATGGATGTCTGTTAAATATTTATATGTTTTATGGTGATATGGCATCATTCAGCAACTAAAAAAAACACTGTTATCGTGCTGACTGAACATTGCTCATACATTACATAATTTACACCAAATGAACAGGTTTAAAGATGCTTAGAAGCTGAACTGTGATCACACTGATATTCATTGTGACACTATTAATTCTGCTCTAATAATCCAGCACAGAGATATAATTTTATTGCTTGAAAAGTAACAGGACGACCCTTTGCAACACGCCATACATATTACTTTTAATTGTTTCCCTATTGATCTGTCCAGGGTGTGCCCCGCCTCTCGCCCTGTGGTAGCTGGGATGAGCTCCAGGATGTTTGCCTATTTAATGTGTGTTTCTGTTTTAAATCCTGCCTGTTTTAAGCTGACACGTAAACACAAAGAATTTCATTATGTGACTGCATAATTACAATAAAGAATCTTGAAGCTTTGCACTAAACATTTTACATTGAGTTACTCAGCATTCCCTGGAGCTTGTTTTCTTAACAAGTTATGTTTGCCCTCTGCTGGGTGAAGAGTGGCAGCGCACGACACAGCCAGTGGAGCAGGTTATGTCGTGCAGACGTGTTGTTCGGAGTGAATAAAAGCTCTAAGCCCCATCAAATCTAATCAGAGTGGAGAGGAGTCAGTAGTGCTGATTCAGCAGGAGTCAGAGCCGATTAGGGAAAAGTGAGGCTGCTGCGGATTAATGACAGTATGCCTCGATCCATCTGTCTCTTGCACACACACACACACACACACAC